ACAAGCACATGCAGCCAGCATGATTTTTTGTGTTTTTTGTTTGTTTGTTTGTTTTTTTTAAGAGAGATTTTTGCTGTAGGTTCATGTGCTTGCCAGAGAGAAAGAGACAGAAAGTGAGAAATCACCCCACAGTGGAATGGCCACACTACAATCCCTTCTCCTTCATTCTTGGTATCTTGGGCATGCATGCACATGTGCCCGGCTGAGTGTCAAGCCACCAGATCCGGGGCTTGAACTGTGGTCAACTATGTGGGAGTCCAGTGATGTAACCATTACGTCATCTGCTGGTCCCTGGCATGTTTTTTAAGCCAGTGGGGCTGGAACTCAAATTTGAGTTGCCCATGTGGGATCCAATTTTCTTAACCACTAGGCTATAGGGCCAACTTGAAATCATATCTTTAAACGTTCTCTAAAGGAGGCCAGACCAGTGGTTAAGGCAGCTGGATTCCATGTAGCCAACCACACAATGTGAGTCCTAGACTCTAATGGCTTGAAAAACACCCCAGGTGAGGTGTGTGCCTGTATGCCCAAAATACAAAAGGGAGGGAGAAGTGGAGCGGACACCCCCATGGGAAGTACTTTCTCACCTCCTCTTTGTTTTTCTGTCCGTCCTTCTCTAGTGAAGTGCATGCATCCTCTAGCAAATTAAAAAGTGTTCTAGGTCATTCTCATAAGCAGTGAGGGTTGAGTGTCAGCACTTTAAATACTATCTTTTGAAAAATATAAGACAAGATTCTACTTACATATATATTTTCAGAAGCATATCTACAGGTGATTCTTAATTAACAAATAAAGAGAAGATTAATGAAGAGGGAATTCACACATAACCCGGTATCATAGCAGAGAGTCCACACGACTATCCAGGGGTGAATTAAGGGGTTCACAGACTAATCGTGATGAAAGCCCAGTGGGAAATGGGCATGGGTTTGCCCCTCCCAATCCCCTCCCCAGAGCTGGCATCCACCCCTGCCTTCAGCTAATACAGGCCCCGAGGAGCACTAGGCTGGAAGGCCTGCCCAATCACCCTGGCCCTCCACCATACTCAGATGGGGTTAATGTGCAAGCCAAGGACTCAGCAGAATAATAAAGAGGCAACTGTGCTTTGCATGACTAAGGACTCTTGTGAAAGGAGAAGGACATGAAAAGTTAATTTTTATTCTTTTTTTTTTTTTCCTTTTCAAACCTGGATAGACCATGGGGGATCTGACCTTCCCTGCACAACACTTAACTGCAGCACAATGGGGCTGGCCCAATTTTTATTCATTTTAACTTTCCCTGGCATGTTTTTTAAGCCAGTGGGGCTGGAACTCAAATTTGAGTTGCCCATGTGGGATCCAATTTTCTTAACCACTAGGCTATAGGGCCAACTTGAAATCATATCTTTAAACGTTCTCTAAAGGAGGCCAGACCAGTGGTTAAGGCAGCTGGATTCCATGTAGCCAACCACACAATGTGAGTCCTAGACTCTAATGGCTTGAAAAACACCCCAGGTGAGGTGTGTGCCTGTATGCCCAAAATACAAAAGGGAGGGAGAAGTGGAGCGGACACCCCCATGGGAAGTACTTTCTCACCTCCTCTTTGTTTTTCTGTCCGTCCTTCTCTAGTGAAGTGCATGCATCCTCTAGCAAATTAAAGTGTTCTAGGTCATTCTCATAAGCAGTGAGGGTTGAGTGTCAGCACTTTAAATACTATCTTTTGAAAAATATAAGACAAGATTCTACTTACATATATATTTTCAGAAGCATATCTACAGGTGATTCTTAATTAACAAATAAAGAGAAGATTAATGAAGAGGGAATTCACACATAACCCGGTATCATAGCAGAGAGTCCACACGACTATCCAGGGGTGAATTAAGGGGTTCACAGACTAATCGTGATGAAAGCCCAGTGGGAAATGGGCATGGGTTTGCCCCTCCCAATCCCCTCCCCAGAGCTGGCATCCACCCCTGCCTTCAGCTAATACAGGCCCCGAGGAGCACTAGGCTGGAAGGCCTGCCCAATCACCCTGGCCCTCCACCATACTCAGATGGGGTTAATGTGCAAGCCAAGGACTCAGCAGAATAATAAAGAGGCAACTGTGCTTTGCATGACTAAGGACTCTTGTGAAAGGAGAAGGACATGAAAAGTTAATTTTTATTCTTTTTTTTTTTTCCTTTTCAAACCTGGATAGACCATGGGGGATCTGACCTTCCCTGCACAACACTTAACTGCAGCACAATGGGGCTGGCCCAATTTTTATTCATTTTAACTTGTCAAAGTAACTTTCAGCAATGATGGGCAGTGTTTAATCTGACCATCAGTCAGTATCATTGCTTTATCAATTCTAAATATTTTGGGTTTTTTTTCCCATGCTTTCTGACAAAATTATCACTGTGGAGAAACTGTTTTTTGAAACTTATAAATACAAAGAGGCAATTCTACGGTAGAGCCTCTAAAAGTACTTGAGAAGTAACTGCTTCTCAGGGGCAGCAGATGGCATAGCGGTTACATTGCTGGACTGCAGTCCTAGCTGGAAGGATGAGGCAGGAGGACTGAGCAACCCTGTCTTAAAAAAAAAAGTCCCATGGTTTCCTGTTTAAAAAATTTTTTAACTTTTCTACAGTAGTGTTGAAGATGTCTACAGAGCTGTGAGAAACCAGTTTGGACTAGTGGCAGCTCACCATTTCCATTTCACTCTCCTCACTCGCAGTGCCACACACAGTTCTATGTTTCTTTAAGGTCAGTGTGTGGAGTTGGAAAGTGGGATAATGATGGTGGTGGTGATGGGGTCACAGGGGCGACCGTGGGCCTAACTTTAGGCCCTTACTCCCAGGCAGAAATATAAATATAATCAGATGTAAACAGGAATTTGTAGCACATATTTTCTACAAGAGTCAAGTGTCACTGATACTCAGGGCATCTCTTTTCACCTGGGATTTTGTAAGTTGGGTGGGACTTCCTTAGGGTGTGAAGCCTAATGGGCATTTTTACAATGGGAAGTATTACATTATTACCACTCACATGTCCTTTCAGTTGGGAACATAGGGGGAGCCGGATTCCCAGACTACACTAATGACCACAGCCATGAAACAGAGTTCTTCAGAAAATCCAGGTGTACCTCACACACAAGAGCTTAGCTTCTTTGAGACAAGTGCGTTTTCTATTGCTAACGCCCACTCAAACCCATGACATGCTGTTGTACCTACGATCATTTTATAAAGGGTTTTTATTTTCTGTCTGATCTGACACTGAAAAGCCACTGTATTCACCTATGTAAGCCCTGTTTGTTAAGAATGTTTTAGAGAATGTAAAATAATAAAATATTGACCGTAGGCCCCTGTGAAGTGCAATGCACATTGGTATGTCTGAACTTCAGTCTATCTAGACACATGGGAGTCCCAAAAGTTTGACTACCCATTGTTTAACCTGTAACTTGGCTATAAGTGACTACCTTATTTATCTGCTCTAATTCACCTTCATAGTGCAATGAATAAAAAGCATGATTTCACCGATTACGCTGTTTAAATACTAGAAGCCACCTTTAAAACTGGTTTTACGGGCCAGTTTCATTCATTATCCAATCTCTACTGCGCACATTCAAAACCAGGCACTGAATGTGTCTAGAAATTACTTTAGAACCATTCTGAGTCCATCTGTAGCAGGACTATGTTGCTGGAATAGCTTATATCAACCCAATATGTATTCTACCATAATTCCCAGAAAGAACAAGGTTTGCAAACACCAAATGAATCTGGCCGAGATTACGGTAAAAGTCAAATCGCATCATGTCGTGAGAGTGTCCATCACAGGCAACTTTGAAGTTAAGGAATCAAAAATATGATCAGTCAAATCCTTTCTTTCTCTCTTTTTAAAGATATTTGCCAAAGGGAATGTGCGTTTGCTGGAGAGAGGGCAAGTGAGAAGTCACCTCCTAGGGAGATGGTATGCTGTAATCCTTTCTCCTCCATTCTCCTCTCTGAATTTTGAATATGCATGAGTGTTCTTCAAGCCACCAGGTCTGGGACTCAACTGTACAGTTGGCCATGTGGGATCAAGAACCTTAACCACCACACTGGCCCAATCAGTCTAATCTTTAACTAGATGTTAAAAACGAGTCTAGCAAATTTCAACATATGTATATAGTTAATTTAGTGGGGAAAAAAAATGTGGCTAACGTCAGCAACTTTAGATGAAATTATTAACTCTCCTTTAAAATTTTTGAAATAGATGGGATCAGCAGATGGCATAATTATTACATCACTGGACTCCCACATAGTTGACCGTGGTTTGAGTCCCAGATCTGGTGGCTTAAACTCATGTCAGGCATGTGTGTGCATGTGACCAAAATCCTGAGAGGAGAATGGAAAAGAAGGGATTGCAGCATGGCCACCCACCTGGGGGTGATTTCTCGCTTTCTATCTCTCTGTGTCTCTCTATCTCTCTGATGAGTGCACGCACCCTGTAGCAAAAAACTCTCTCTAAATAAAAAAGGGGGACCAGCAGGTGGCATGGTGGTTAAGGCGCTGGACACTTTCACATGGCCGACCACAGATGCAGTCCCGGGCCTGGTGGCTTGCTTTCTCACTTTCCCTCCCTCTCTTTCTCTCTCTCTGTGTCTCTCACTGGTCAAATTAAAGAAAACGAATAAGTAAAATTAAATAAATAATTCTTTAAAAAAAGTTTTGAAATAGATTTGACCTAGAGATGACAAGGGTACCAATCCCTTTTCTAGAAACGTATGAATTCCTCTCTGTGTAATTTTAGGGACTCACCTGAAGAGGGATATTTCTGTGTATGGTATGATTAAAGTTTTCCTTCAAGTGGTTAGTACCAGGAGATGTACAAATGCAAAACCAAACAAACATAAATATATTAGGTCATCGGGAAAGTCACGGCATATTTTAATATGTCATGACTTTTCCGATGACCCAATATATTTTTTGTCACAGGACAACAAAATTATGTCAATCATACAAATGAAAGCTTAACAATCAACAGATATTTTTGAAGGATGCATACCTGCTCTTTGGACGGCACCAGGAGTTCTTCAATCATCATGCTGTCCCGTGCATAGGAGCTTCTGTTTAAGGTGTAAGACCTATCCGAACTGAAGGAGCGGAGGCTGTTGTATTTACAGTTAACCATTCAACAGTGGTAGATGATGATGAGATGAATAAAAGAAAATTAATGCATGCAACTTTAAAAACAGGCAAGATGGCTAAAAATATCAACAAATGTTTTTGAAAGGACATCATTGAAAATAAAATCCCTTGCATTAGAGCGAATGTCTTAAGCACAGACGATTTTACGACAGCTCAGCTTTTGTTTAAAATTAGGCCAATTGGTGCTAAATCTGTGTGAAGATGAAATGCAGAAAACTTCGGATGTTTCACTATGAAGCTGAACCAACGTGACAATTGAGAAGAACCAGATGACTCGAGATAATTGATCATTAGAAAGAGATTTCTAGGGTGAGTCTCCTCTTTCTGGCCCATATCTGCTTGGCTTGCACTGCTGAGTGGAATTTTGTCCACTGTAAGTCTTTGGGAAGCAGACATGGGTTTAACTTGTTGAAGCCTCAGGTCTGTAGTAGCTACTCATGGAAAACATGAAGGAGGAAGTACTGCTAGGCTTCCCACTATGTGGTTGTCTCTGCCATCTTCCTGGCTTCGAGGAAATACTCAAATTCTCTGTACAGTTATTTTTTTTTTTGTGTATGTGTGTGTGTGTGTGTGTGTGTGTGTCAAATCTTATGCCTCTCCTTGCTTGACTCTGCTCTTCCTTGCTTTCTCTACTACTGTTCTCCCTTCCAGCCTCTCTCAGATCCTCCACAGCCCCTGAACTTCCCAGTATGGGTCCTCTGATGCCCCAAAGAGCTCCTTACCCACTGACCTCTAAACTAAAGGTCAATGAGAACAGCCGTGACCTTGCACACATCCACACGGGTCATGCAGGCCAAGACTGGGATGGCAGCTAATCTGAGAGTTAGCAGAATTCCTCATGACCCTCCAAGGACACAGAGGATGGAGGTTTGTGAGGAGCTGCTACGCGGCCATTTTCCACTAGTCTTCCTTTTTCACCTGGGACAGCTTTTCGTCACTTCCTTATTTTAATGTCTGAGGTTCCCTGTCTTGCCCTCCCTGGACTAGGGCTGCAGAATATAAAACCACCAGCTGGAGACTGGAATTGGTCCTCTGTGATGAGGTACCCCACAATTAGCACTGTGGACATCCAGACCCTTTGGTTGCAGTGTCTTTTTTGATGTAGGGGACAGGGACCATTTGCTTCTTCCTTTCTTTGCCTATGTCAGTAATAAATGACCTGGATCTGAATGTGGCTCACTGCATCTTTACCAGCTGAATCAGTCAGGCCTTGGCTTTAGTTTTGTTACTTGACAGGGAAAGCAAAGATGAGCTAAATATGAATAATTACTTGCTTTGCAAAGAAATTTCTTTTCCCTACTGCTTACTACAGTAAAGATGACCTGAAAGGGAGTGTTCTTATGTGGTGACACAGAGGCTCCTGATGTCATAGGCATTATTCTAGGTAGCTACACAGACAGACAGGTACATTCTTATAGGGATAGAGAGCCTGACTTTCACCATATCTTATTAGACTGATCTCTCTGACTCCAAAATAACCATCATACTACAAGATCATTATTTAGTGTGTCTGGCAAATTTTTAGGAACTTAGTACGCTGAGCAAGCATTATCCTTGCACAGCGGAGCTTACCTAGAAGGCCCCAAGACTGACCACTTTCATAGCTAGGTCCTCTGAGCCCAATTATGTGACCCATACCTTCTCTCCCCACACTCCCGCTCCTGCTTCAATCACAATCACTTCTTTCTATTACTCTATTCCTAACCCTTTCCCTCTCTCAAATACAGTAGACACTTCCTAGCTGCAGGACTGTTCCTACTCAGCACTATCCACTAGCACTCTGCTCTGGCGGAGATCCACTAACCCTGTGCTGTCCACAGTAGCAGCCCTCTGCCAGGGTGGCAACTCCTTTCATTTTAACGAGTTCCACTTAAATCGCCCCAGGGGGCTACCTGTTACATCAGGAGACAGTGCACTACTAACTACTGACAGCAACGTCCCACTGTGTTCCTCTCATGTGATTTGAGAGGCTGTGGGAAGCTGGGCTTTCTGTATCAGACATTCATGTCTTTAAATCAATCCCATGTCAGGATATGGTGACATGGGTGGTCCATGAGACAGTCTTAGTGTATAAATGGGCATATAAAATGTTTAAAAAAAAATTACATACTCCATTTTACTTCTGAAATATATCTAGTAGTTGGTGATACTTTTTAAACAACACTCTCTCCTTTTAACTTATGTATGAGTGCCAGCTGCAGGACAGAGACCAGAACTAGGAGCCGCCCACAACAGGTCTAACAAAGTCTCCATTTTACATAATGTCTAAAGTTCCTCCTCCTGGCCCTTCCAGACCAACTGACACTGGGCAGATGGAGCCCATTAAATGCAGCAAGCTTCACTCTGAACCCCTACTACACTGAAGTAATACTTTCAGCTACTAAAATGAGAGATTATTTGCATGGGGGTCTGGAAAGCATTAAAGTATTTTTAACTAGGGTCAACTCTATTATTTGTAGCCATCAGCAGACCTTCAGTGTTAAATAGGGGAAGGGTTAGAAACACATGCCTCAGAATACTACTATGCCTAGTACAGTTCAAATAAAACAGCAACCAGCCAACAAACAGCCCTTCGAAATCAGGACTTTTTCTTTAAACCCAGAGAAACTGATTCAATTACTTCATGCACTAAACAGAATCTGTTATGGGAACAAAATTCTTTAAGTCTTCAGTCAATTTTGCATAAGTAACGTTTCTTATTAAACATTTAGTTTCTTGCTCATTTTTTTCAAAATCACCAAACTAATTTTCTAAAGCTGAGCAGAAAAAAAGGGAAAAGCACATGGCAGCACATCACAGCACATCACATCACGATGCTGAAGAAAATAAAGATGAGAAAATGAGCCAGGGACGGGCAGAGAAACTGTACAAGGGCCATGTCTTCTTACCTGATCTTGGGACTATTTTTTAAGTTATTTTAGAAAAAACACAGGAGAAACAGAAAGCAAAAAATTAGACAGAGAAAAAAAGAAAAAAAAATGTTATGGTTGAATGAATTACACATTTAATGTATTCCTTTTACAATGTTACACTCAGAGTCAGAATATTTTACTTAGTAGAACTCATAACAAGGTGCTTTTAAAAGACTCAGCTACATATTTTAAAAATATTTGCCTCTGAGCATAACATGAGTTGCCAATGTAAAGAAAAATAAATTACATATAACAGCAATAAATAATGGTGCAATCAAAATTAGAAGTGTGAAAGCCTTGGAATATCTTTAGCAAAAACATGAGAGGCAATAGGCTGTTTATTGGATGTCAGCCGCTACAATTTTCTTCGTAGAAATGACTGATTCACGAAATGTGTCATGTCTGACCAGAGGAAGGGACAGCAGCTAGATATTAGACTATGAAAGCTATCAATCTCTAAGACAGAAACAAGATTTCAAGAATCTTGAGATCCCTCAAGCGTCTGCATACGTTCCACTGGAACTTGTTGCTATCTATGACTACCTGAAATAGTGCATATTTTTTAAAAGCTATTTTTTTCTTGTTGCTGAGACCTGCTACCATAGAATTTTAAGGCCTCTATAAATCGATTTATAATGCCACCGTTCTTCTACATGAAGTTTGACATTCTATTGAAGAAAGACTAATGCAAAGGTAAATCGATTCAGTATCTTCACTGGACAGGCCATGGACACAGAATAAGCTCCCCGGTTTACTTTGTGGGAAGTGCCATTTACGATTAGACAATGAAACTTTTTACAACAGATCCTAAACTATAGGAAAATGTCCTCAGGGCTTTGGCTTAGAAGGTTTAATTATTAGCTTTAAAATAACTCCCTTGTCAGCAAACATGCTGTTAATCCACACCAGGGAAAAGAAGTCTACAAATTCTGGACGAGGTCTTATTTCTCTCAACCAGAATAAGAAAAGTTTGAGTCAAGGATTTTCCAGGCAGAAACATTTTACGCTTCAGTTGTAAGGACCAAATTTGTTACCCCTCTTGTCTATGACTTGTGGCAAGTCACCGTGACACTCCTAACATGCTCCTTATAAACAAAATCATGAAATAATTTTAGAACATATACTCCAACACTTGTTAGACAATTTTAAAAAAAGAAAACTTTGTCACTGTTTTTTTTTTTTTTTGAGAATATTTTTTTGAGAATTAAAGTCTCAATCAGGAGTTAGTCTTTCAGAAATAGAGAATAGTGAAGAATCCATACGCGTTTCTTACTTATTGACAAATAAGATTTTCTTTTGATATAGAGAACAATTTTATTTTTAAACATGTGACCCACATTGGTTCTCCCGTTTTGTCAGTGAGCTCATTGGCTACCATGCTTGAAACAGGACTGCAAAGTGGAGAAAAAAAAGGAACAATTAACATGTGTGATCACATGAAATTGAGGACTAAAAACCACAAAAGAAAATGGCAGGACAGGTATACTTGAGCTGAAAACATTTCGCCAAATTCACATCTTCATCCAAAGACACTTGGGGACAACGTGAAGAATGAAAATGATATTGGTGTATGGCACATCATGGTTTTCAAATGAACTATGAAAACCAGCAACGATTAAGTACCTGGCAGAACGAGCCCCAAGGCTGAAGCCCATGTAACCCTCTGCGGGCAGGGAATCGTCGCCCAGTTCCTTGAGGTCCTGTGGCCCGAGATATTTGTCCGTGTCCCCCGTCACTGCGTCTTCACCTGCAGATGTACAGAGTAAGCCCAAATCAAAAACTTCTCGCTTGAATATGGGTCCGCTGGGGAGAAAAACTGCTCCTTTTCATCAGCAAATCACCCATTTCCTTATATTCACCTTCCCCTACCCCCTGGATAATTTTTGTAACTGCTGGTTAGAAGGAAAAGAGAATAGACAGAGGTTAGTCCAAAACTTCAAGAGTGAATTGAAGTAGCGGAAACAGCTTCCGGTGTGAAGTACCAATTTTAAAACATTACTCTCCCACCTTTTCTTCTTCAAGCCCCAAGATGGTTTAGAAAGGTAGATTTTTTATGGCAGAATGTTCCTCCCTTTACCCCAGATGAGGGCAAGAGTCATCTCTCCATCATTATTCTTGAGATTATATGTAGAGAGAACAGACATTAAAAAAAAAAAAAACAACCAATTTTCTCCCACAGGATTTCAGTTCAGGGCTTATGTAAGAAACTAGCCAATGACATGTGAACTATAATGTACACTTGGGGAACTCTGGAACACCACAGTTTCTGTTTTCTAAACTTGTCAAGCAGCTGTCCCAAAGTTTGAAATCTCTCGGAAAGGAACTCCACCTTCCACCGAGATAGAGGGGGGCTCCAGCATTTGAAAGGAGGTCTATGTAAATTGCTCAGTAACTATCAAACACAAAGAGTTAAATACCTAAAACACTTTTGCTAGCTACATATGCAGTAACGTGACCTCACAGGGAAAAACTGCATTCCAAGAGTCACAGGACAGGTTTTTCAATGGTCTTGCCCTCTGGGTCATTTCCCATCTTTACAACGGGGCTCACGTTGTGCAAAAGCTCCTGCTGCACATGGGCGAATTCAACCTCCTCTTATGATTCTTAATTCTCTTCTTGGACACAAGCATGGCTGGTCGAAAGTTTCCCAAGTCTGACTGCTGGGTTTTCTCGAAGGTAACTAAGTGATTCACCCAGCCCAGCCCTGTTTTCCTTTCTTCATTCAATATCAACAATTTCCATTCATTTAAACGCAGGAAACCACAAGAACTCCGCTTTTTAAACTAACGTTCAAGTCTAAAAATACACTGTCAACTACTGTTTTTGCAAATGTAAAAACTAAACATAGCAACTTTCTATTGCTACCTAGGACCAAAAGCTTATTTTAAGTAACTATTTTCAGCCAGGCTCTCTGCACATGCAGTGCGTCTGAAACAAAAACAGCACACACCAAGTATAATTTAAAGAAAGATCTTACTCCGTGGTAAAGCCATTTCCACCAGGCTGGGCTGATCAAATATTTTCCTGATGTTTCCAGGAATTTCTTAAGCAGTGATTTTTAGAATCAACCTCCAAACCAGCCCAAGCAAACCAGCCCCTGGGTTGTATCCACTCTTCACCAATGCGGCCGAGTTCCCCTCAGCATCTTGATCTCCTTGTAGGCAACAGAGGAATTACACATCTTTTCCCACTCATCAGAATTCGAAGGTTTTCAAAATTTCAGACCAAAAAAAAGAAAAAAAAGAAAAAAAGAATCTGGCAACACTTAATTGAGATTAAAATCCTTTTGATCACTCCGCAGACATCCTTTTAAAGCTCCTTCTGATTGGATTAAAATCTTCTCTGGCAAGCCTCTAGCAGGACGGAATGGTGACAGAAATGCAAGCCCTTGAGTTATTTGTATGTAAATATGAGGACTGCTCCGGTGTAGACTTTCGGTAATTTGATACCAACTGCTCGCTAGATTCCCTAACCCGTAACCGAGACTGCCTTAAACAGCGGGAGAGAGCCGGAGGTGCTGCATTTAATTAGGAGGTGCCTCTTCTTAAATATGAATGAAGAAACAGCCAACCCAGGTAGAGGAAAAACAGTGAAAGAAAACAAAGAAGTGGCCTCCGGTGGGAGTGGCAGGGAGCTCCAGGCAAACTTTCAACTTTGTTCTCAGCTGGGAACACCGGGAACCTTGGTTATTTATGGTCCCTGTCAGGTGGAAGGAGGGGAAAAAGAGAGAGAGGGAGGGCCTGCCCTTGAGCTGAGGTTGTGAAACTGCGGGGCTGAGGGAGCAGCCGTGATTCCCATAACTCTCCAAGAAGCCTTTGGAATACACTCACCGTCATCACTGCTTTTTATCAGGAGTTTGGAGAACAGAGCAAAAGTGAGATAAGCTTGAAAAAACAATGGAGTGTTCTGCCTTATTTTTAGCACAAATTATCTCAACTTTTTAAGCCCTTCAGGAGGACCACTGTCCCTCCTGGAGAGTTCTCAGCTGAGAGCGAGAGCGGCCAAGCAGTAAGAGAGAGAGAGGAGTTGCCTAGAGAGGTCTCTGTGGCCTGTGTGGGAGGCAGGCCCAGGAGGTGTGTCTGTCACTTTGTGTTACATTGTTTCCCTCTCCCTCCAGCTCCTAGGCTCCCTGTGGCTGCTCCACCCAAGTTTCTGTTGGCAGGGGAGGGAAAAAATAGCAGGGCTTCTGCATCCTCCATCTGGGTATACTGGAGGGGCCACTTCAATGCCTACCCCCTAAAGCTCAACCCCCGCCACTCCCCTACCCCCTGCAACAAGAGCTAGAGAATTAGACTAGAAGGTTAGGTACAGGGCTTGAATCCACCTTGCTGAGGCACTTCACACTAGTGCATCTATTCCCGTGGAAAGGTACCTAAACACACAGGAATTTGTAAAACTGATGAAGCAGGCACAAATTTGTTCTCTCCGGATAAATGCATAAATAAATGGCTTCCGTAACAGAAGCATGAAACCTGGTGCTTTAATCTGGTCAGCCCAGTTGTAATCAGCATTGTAAGTATGCAGGAATAGAAGGGAAGTCATTTATAACGTCTAGTATTTACTGAATTCCCCCCAAGCCAAAGAATAATTTCCAACTGTGATAGACCAGGAAGCCATGATTAAAGAGAAGAAATGTGAGAGAAAGTCTTGAGGAAGAATGAGCATTTATCTGCTTTTCACATTCACATTTGGAACCCAACCTACCTAGCAGTCTTCTTGGATGACTGATAGTCATTCGGGCTTCCTGACAAGCCCGTGAGGCAGTATTCCTTTTCCTTGACCTCTTGGCCAACCTCAACCCTGGCCACTCTTCTATGCCCAGCCTGACCTCCTGCGATCCAGAATTGTTTCAATCTCTAGAATTCTCTTTGCATTTTCCACCTTCTCACATGGTGTATTCTCTTGATGGAATTCTTCCTTCTTCATTCAGGTAATTTCTGTCTCTTCCACTCTCTCTAGAACCCCTTCCATGCTTCACTTACCATCTCAAGTGAGGAGTCCCTTTTAGAATGTATTGCCAGTAAACATCTGCTTAGTCTCTCCCATTGGTTAATGACAGTCCCTAGGTGACTTTTACCTGGGCCAGACATATTAGAAGCACCCCATATGGGGTCTGTAGGTAACATGGTGGCTGAGGGACTTAACTCCCACATGGTCAACTGCAATTCCAAGTCCTAGACCCAGTGGCCCGAAAAACACAATTAAATCAACAGATAGATAAATAAATGTTTTTTTTTAAGTGAATAAATCTTTAAAAAAAAAAAAAAGGTGTCCCATAAATGGTTTTAGGGTTCATGACTACTAGTAAGTAAAGATGTTAGGATTTTTTTTTTTTTAAATTCGATATGCCAGGAGCCAGCAAGTGGTGTGGTGGTTAAAGGTGCTGGAGTCCCACATGGCCGACTATGGTTCAAATCCCAGGCCTCCTGGTAGCTTGCTTTCTCACTCTCCCTTTCTCTCTTTCTCTAGTTAAAAAAAAAAAAAAGAAAAAAAGAAAAAGAATATGAACAACAAACGGAGTTAAATACATAAATATATAAAATAAAAAAATCTATGTGCCACTGCAATTTAGCAGTCTTTTCAAATATCAAGCTTGATGACAAGTACACAAATAAAATTTCAATGAAAGTAAGTTTTCATTTTTCTTTGTTCATCCTTCTTAGACTTCAGAAACAGTCACTATGAAACCAAGGTAAGCCAAGAGTGGGGTAGGGGTAGGAGGTGTCAATATGTTTGGCTAAAGATTAATGAAAACAAAATGGCCTTATGAGCTAAATAATTATGTACTTACCATTTTAGAAAGATGGAAAACTTAAACACTTCTTTAAAAGAATTGGAATTCAGGAATCAAGGCAAACGGTGTGATTATTATTATTTGGATAGAAAGTGCATGTATACATGATAGAGGGAAAGAATAGCGGCGAGAGGGAGGGAGGGAGGAGTTGGGGAGAGAGACAGAGACAGACAGACAGGCCAGTCAACCCCACACAGGATCTCCACACACCACAATCTCCCTTCTCCCATCTCTCAGCTCCTCAGGATTCTGGGCACCTGCGTGCATATGCCAGGTGCATTTTCAGGCCAGCCTGTATATCCAGACCTGTGGCTGGCCACGTAGCTTCCACTGCTGAAGTCCAGTATGCCGCAGATTACGCCACCAGGCTGGGCCGGCAGCAATATTATTGTAATGCACTTTTGTGTAGTAGGTGCTCTGGGTTCAAATCCAAGCTCTACCAGTTACCGACTGGGTAACTTTTGAGATGCCATTTAACTGCTCTAAATCACTGTTTCTACCTCTAGCATAAGGATAGGGATATTAAGTCTGCCTCTGCCCCAAGACTGACTAGGTGGATTAAATAAAATAATGCACAAAGCAAGGATTTAATCAGTGCTGTTAACTATTATTCTCCAGTAGCTTTCTTCAGAGTCCAAACATAACTTATCCTTAGCATTGAAATTGCTACTATTTATATTGATGAAAGTAAAATCCAATCATAGCCACAAACTGTCCCTGCTATCCATTATCTAATACAGGCCCTGGCTTGACACAGATGTTTAACAAGTATTGTTGGCTGCAAGAATGAATGAATGAATAGGTGAACCATGACCACAACATTAATTCACTTTCCTTTCAATAGACAAAATGCTCTATAATTATTTTATTAATTATTATACACACTACTACATCAAAGATTAGTAAGGAATGAGATAAATTGTGTGGAGTGACTTGTTAACTGTCCCTAATCCACTATATAATCCAAAAATATTTTGGTTAAGTGGTGGCTTCTGATCAACAGGTACAAGTGGTATAAACCAAGGAAGGTAATTCTACAAATAGATGACAGTCAGTCAGTATCTGATATATTGAGTTATTAAGAGAACAAATGTATACTGTATGTATATGTATAGTACTAAGAGCCACATACTTTCACCTATGAAGAAGTACCTGCAAAGGTACCAAGAAGTGTTTGGGCAGTGAAATAACAGTTGTGTTACGGATCAATCTGACCTTTTCCTGACAAAGAGAGTAGGGTGTTGGTAGCTGGCTACTAAAGATGTCCTCCTCACTCTCACACACCCTCCCTTCCAATGAACCATGTTTGCTTTTATTCATGCCCTCAACTGAATCGAGGTTGGCTTGAGTGTTAATACAATTCAGGAAAAATGATTTTGCATGCCTTCTGAGTTTGAGTTCAAAGAAACTTACAGATTCTCTCTGAGTTTGGGAGAAGCCAGTCCCGGTACACAACTTTGACTCCCATGAGACTATTATAAAGAAGCTCGTGGAAGTCATATGCACAGACTGCTTGGAGACAGAGGGAGGTGTCCATCTAGCTTTGAGCTATCCTAGCCATCCCAGCTGAGGGGCCTGACCTCTGGATGACGACACCATCTTGGACATCCATCACAGACTTCCACTTCGGCTGCTATCTGACTGCAATCTCATGAAAGCTCTCAGGAACCCAGCTGAGCCTGGGGTACTCAAAGAACCAGGGAGACAATAATAAATTAAACCCCTGAGTGTGAGGTGGGCTGATACTTTGTAATAGGGAACTGAAACAAAGAGAAAGAATGAGAAATGAAAAAGCCCAAAGATAAGCCTAGAGGTCACATGCCGGTTGCCTAATGCAGCCCCAGGAAATTAGAAGAGCCCTGTAATGCATTATATGATCAGTACAGACAAGGTCCAGGAGAGGTACAATGGCAAAGGCCACCAGAGAGGGCCTCACCTCTTCAGTACTAACTCCATGCTTTCAAACCTTTTGTCTTGGCCATCAATGTTCTCACTATTGAGCCATTTGTTAATGAAATAAAAGAGCCTGGAAAATTTTTTAAAAAGAAAATAAAAGTTCCTCAAATCTACCTTGATCCCACTATTAACCGAGTAATAACAGGTGTTTGGAGGCATTTTACTCCAGTTTTTCAGCTATCCCCCCTCTTGCTAGTCGCCTCTATCTAATGAATAGGCAAGAGAAAAAAGTTTCTGTAGTATAATCAAACATTCAAAAATCTGTAAACTTGATCTACCAGGAAAACAATGAAAAATAAAAATCAGAAACAAAGGGGAGGAAGAAAGAATATAGAAAGTGACAATCAGGGCTATGGTGGGCCAAACAGGCATCCCCTCATTCCTTTTTGATTCCAGGTCTATGGTCCAGTACCTGGTGTAATATACCTAACCCAGCTTCCTTGCAATCTTTCATTATGCCTACTAATAGTACTTTGTATGCTGAATAAAGGGAATAGTTCTTGGTCTAATGTTTAGAAGTGTTTTCTTGTCCCAGGAGTTCATTTCCTCTCTTTTCTTTTGCTCCTTCCTTCTCTCCTTCTTTCTATTCTTCATTCATGAAAGAGCATAAAGGGAGGGGAGGGGAGGAGAGCGAGAGAGAGAGAGAGAGAGAGAGAGAAAGAGGGAGAGAGTTAGTTGAGCACTCTCCATAGAGCCTCAACACGTGGCAGACCCCTTCCTCCATCAGATCTTGAGCACTCGCGTCCATGCCCAGCGTATTTCAAGTTGAAAGAGACCTGGATTAGAACCATGGTTGCCATGTGGGATCTGGCTTCTTTCTCCATGGAGCCAGCCCATCTTTCTTTCTTTCTCTGTGTGTAACTTTCTTCTAATCTTTTGTTACCTTAAGACCTCATCGAGGAATACTTTTGTTGCTTTTCCAGGGACTGGAAATTGTTTCTCTATCTGGCTGCAGACCTGAATCAGAGTTTCTTATATAATTATACCAGATTATACTGTTAGAGACTTGGCTTACAAGTGCTCAATTCTTGTGCTGTGAAATGCAAATCCCCACAAGGTATGTATTTTGTAACATTATAAAGTTCAAATTAATAGTACGAAATACTTCCTAACACATTAATAATCATACAAAACTTCCAAATTACATAGGATTTAAAAAAACTAGATTAGAAAGAATAAAGAGAAACATGGCCTCTTTACAGTAGTGATCCATTAGAAATTAGTTCTTAGAATTTAACAAATCGTCTTACACACAAGCAGTTAATGATCAAACTTAGAAGTCTTAAATTTACTGTTGCTTATTCTTTCAAAAGTGATTTTTTGATCATATAAAGAGAAGAAAAGAAAACTACTGGGAAAATAAATTTTTTAAGCATATCTAGCCTGTATTATATAAGAAGCCTTCAAAAAGTTTGTGGAAAATGAATATTTTAAAAAATGCAGTGATTGCAAATTTTTTTTTTTTTTTGGCACCAAGATAAACCCATACTTTAATTCCATTTTTCCACAAAGTTTTTTAAGTTCTCTCATATAACCGTAGGATAAAATCATATCATTAAAATGAACACTAATATTTATTGAGCACTTATTATATTCTAGGCACTTTTTCGTGCTTTATATGTATATGTTATTTAATTCTGACATTATAAAATAGAATTGTTATCTCCCTCTCAAGATAAAACTCAGTGGTGGAATAAGTAATCCAAGATCACTTAGTAAATGGGAAGACAGGATTCAAAAATCAATTGATTTGACTCTAGGGCCTGTTTTTAACGACCACAGTGTGCTGGCTATTTAAAACTTAGAAGACTATTGAATGAACACTGTAAGAAACTGGTAGCCAAAATACAAGCTCCTTGAGGGTGGCGGCTTTTGTCAGTTTAGTTTCATGTTTGTTACCTACAGCAGTGCCTGGCACTTGGTAGGTGCTCAATAAATGTGGGGAATAATTGAAAGATCAGCCATTGCATTTGCAGATGGGAACTATATTGCTGGGGGAGCAGGACGCAGACTTACTTTTTACTGTAAACTCTTGTACCTTGGGGATTTTGTGCCATGTGCCTCTATCACCTATTTGAAAAATGAATACAATTAACAAAAGAAAACAAAAAGTATAGGGACTACAGAGAAGTCATATAGTCTGTGTGCTCCACTCACCAGGAACGGGATTACGACATAGAAAGCTGTCAAGGTGTATATGTGCACAGCGCCTGGGCTAGAACCATGCAATCAGGTTGCAGAATTCAGGACCTTCACTATCACACCACAATGGCAGGAGATGAGCAAGAGGAAGTATAGACAATCACCAGAGTTCAAAGAAAGGCATCACACCGATTGCTGGCGCGAGACTGAATGGAGGTGTGTGCGTTCAGACAAGTGGAGAAGAGCAGAAATGGGAAGATGAACATTCCTAGCCAGAGAGCAGAGCATGGGAAGAAGAAAGTAAGGGCCATCCTGTGGCTTGGCAGTTAAGGTGGCTGGATCCCACATGGCCCATGGCTGATTGCAAGATTCAAGTTCCAGACCAGATGGCTTGAAAGGCCTGCCAGGTGTGTGTGTGTGTGTGTGTGTGTGTCCATGTCCAAAATTCCAAGAGACGAAGATGGAGGAGGGGATATTGTGGGGTGTGCTTTCTCACTGCCTTGGCAAATGCACACACACCCTAGCAAAATTAAAAATAAAAAAAAAGGAGAGCTCAGAGAAAGGGACCGGCAAGCGGCCAGCTTTGCTTAAGCAATAGGCAAATGAATTGTAGGAAATGAGCTGGTTCGGTCATATTATTTTTAGGTCCATTGAAATTGGATAATAGAGTATCAACTGCCATCCAAGTAACAAGCAACATATATTCATTAGTGGGTGGAAACGCAATTAGCACTCTGACTGACTCACAAACATCAACATACACATACCTGAAGACCTAAACTCTCAAAGTTCTCCCTCATCCTCTCATGCTCTATTTCTTCTTCTTTTTTATTTAAAATTTTTGCCATAGGGCATATGTGCTTGCCAGACACAGACACGCACACACACACAGACACACACACACACACACACAGACCACGAAATTACCCCCTAGTGTGGATGACCACACCATAATCCCTTCTTTTCTATTTTCATCTCAGGATTTTGGGCACACACATGCTGCGTATGATTTTCAAGCCACCAGATCTGAGACTTGAACCACAGTAGGCCTTGTGGGAGTCCAGTGCCTTGACTACTATGCCACCTGCTGGCCCCTTATTTTTCCTCTTAAAAAACAAAAAGTTGTCAGTTCCTCTCTTCCAAGAACAAGAGAGGCAAAGAGTCATCCCTAACAGAGGCCCAATGCCACAATCAAACCCCCAGCCATATCCAGCCCCAGATCATGGTTGTAGACATATGTATCGAGAGTACTCAAGGAGGTTTCCAGAGGCAAACCTGGAACCTTCCCACCTGGGTCAGCCTCACAGAGCATCATGTTCCCCTGCACTATGTTTGGTCCCCAAAATTTGCCCTAAGTCTTGTCCGATAGCAGGAAACAGGATAGCTAGGTAGTCATACCCATCTTACAAAAACAGAGGGACTCCCATTTATGAGGAACCTACTATATGCCAGCACTATTCTAAATTCTTCACATATGTCATTTCTTCTGCTATCTACAGCATTTCTATATGATATTACTAGCCCTTAAACATGGTTAATAATGAGATATAAGATCTAGTATTTTTTTTTTTTGAGAGTTTTTTTGCTATGGGGTGTGTGCACTCACCAGAAAGACAGAGATAGATAGAGAGACAGAAAGCGAGAAATCACCCCCCTGGGAGGATGGCCATGGTGCAATCCCTTCTCCTCCATTCTCCTCTCAGGATCTTGGGCATGTATGCACATGTGCCCTGTGTGAATTTAAGCCACCGGGTCCAGGACTTGAATTGCAGTTGACTACATGGGAGTCCACCGAGGTAGCCATTAGTCAACTGCTGATGCCCTAGTATATTTTATTTTATGAAGGTTCAATGAAGGGACATTAAAATATGGATAGCTTTGAAGAAAATATATTTCCATCCAATCAAAAGTTTAATAAAAAATATATCTCACCTAATATTCAGTGAATAAAGTTTCAGGCAAGAGAATCCCAATGACTGCATTTGCTCACATGACCTTTCCCTTGATCTGATAGTCTCAGTCTCAAGAAAGCAAGGAAGCAGGAACAGAAAGGAAGAGGATTGTGGTAGGTAAGGACTCTGATCTACTCAACATTAATTTTAAACATTTAGTTCTCACCTAGAATTACACGACAGTTAATGGAACGTTACTTAGATTCTAGATCTGCAGTGTATTGCTCCTTTTATCTTGCAGTCTGGAGCAGTGTGTGTTAGGCAAGATCTCCTGTGAGTATCCAAGAGGTGATAAAAAGCAGGAGGTGATAAGCATGGGGAAGGAATGGTGCCATCTACTCCATGAGGTTCTTTAATGTCTGGCTGGAGGACCAGAGAGATGCTGCAGCTCAGCCCACCACTCCCACCTTACAGTGAGGCTGGTAGTCCCATCCGTCCTCAAGGAAACAAGAGAGAGAGGGCTCCCTCTGCCACCTTTTCTCTCCACCTTCCTCCCCAGTTTGGATCGCTGATCAGTGGCCTTCTTTTTTTTCTTTCTTTTTTTTTTTTTAAGAATTATTTATTTAATTTGACTTATTTTTAAAAAAATATTATTATTTTGGGGGACCAGCAGGTCGTGTGGTGGTTAAGGCGCTGGACACTTACACATGACTGACTATGGTTTGAGTCCCAGACCTGGTGGCTTGCTTTCTCACTTCCTCTCCCTCTCTCTGTCAAATTAAAAATAAATGAATGAATAAATAAAATGTAATAAATAATTATAAAAAAATATTTTGAATTTGCTATAAGGCACATGCACTCATCAGAAAGACAGAAAGACAGAGAGACACAGAAAGAGAGAGAGAGCTGCCAGGTCTGGGACTCAAACCACAGTCGGCCATGTGAGAGTCCAGCACCTCAACCATCATGCCACCTGCTAGCTCCAGAAAGGCCTTTGTTTTCCATCATCTCCTGGCAACAGTGGTTGTTCTTTCAAAACATAAACTAAAAGCTAGAATATAATATTTTCTCACTTTCTTTCTCAAAATGGTTGCCAACTATGGAATAAGTTGAGAGGATGGTTAAATAAGCAATAGGTACAACAGGGGACCTTGAGAAGTTTGAAAAAGTGACATATTATTTTAAGGCATTCATGTACCTCTTGTGGGAGGGCCACTTGCTTCATTTTATAATCCTTCCCTTTCCCTAGCTCTGGATGCACATAAAGTTCTGACTTTGTAGATGGCCAGGAAAAGAATGAGGTTTGAATGACATATTAGGTCATCGGGCAAGTCATGAAGTATTTTTCTATGCAAAAATGTGCCATGACTTTCCCAATGACCCAGTAGTTATACACCTCTTATACAACAACAAATTGTCATTATCTCACAGAACATAGGATTCTGCTCAAGTATTTTTTAAAGGCACAAACGCAGCTTAATTCCTAACTTTTAAACTTTTTTTTGTGTGTGGCAAGATGTGCTTCTTTTAAAAAACCGTAGAGCAGTTTATGGCTCCTTAATCCAGCCTAGATATAGTTTCCAAAGTGAACTTGCATGACTCAGTGTCGGAACCTTTCCAGATGTAGCAATGAAAAATGTCCCCTGCAATCTTGGTTAGGTTAATAAACAAACCCATCCCAGAAAGGGAAAAAGAATTCAGTGTGTCTCCTGCGAAGAGGTAGAAAAAGACAATGTTGGAACAGATACTATAATCTTTTCATAGTCTTAATAATACTTTTCAAGCCTAACGTCTCCTTAGTCATCTAAGTAGGATTAAACATTACAATGACTTGGTCAAATGAACACCTAAGTCTAAAGACAGAATGCAGGTAGAAAAGAGTACAAGATTATTTACACTCTTCATTATCTAAAAATCTATGCTACTTGTAAAGAAGACTAGACAATGAATTAATTACTAGCCACAAACTAGGCCTGTGAAATCAGGCACTAAAATGTTGGTTCCTACTTAGAGAAACTAGCTAGTTAAATTTAGGGTGGCAGTGTGTCATGCCAATTGGTTGTATGTTTTATTCATCCTCTCTTAGCTGTCTGTCTAGCTTCAATCCCAAATCCAGACTTACTAGTTTTGGTTCTTCATTACTTAGGGACATACGGACTCTGTGTACAGTAAATGAATATGTTCACTGTTCCCAGGCCTAAGGAAGTACAAGGCTCATGGACACCTTGAGGGTAACGATTTGGCCTTCTTTCCTCATACCCAGATTGCTTCTTTGTGCTGAGCAATAAACACCTGTTTACTAGCTTGTTTTATATCCAGCCAATGCCCTGAAGATGTGCATGTAAAGGCATGTAGAGCCCGTTCTCAGGTCTCATCCTGGTTGAGATTCTGACACAGGTCATAAGACCACTCCTCCCCCTCTAATTCCTCTTGTTCCCAGCTCTTTGCCCACCATCCTGCCTCCCCTCTGTCCATTCATTCTCCACACTGATGTTCTCTGCATTAACCCATCTTCTCTTCATAGTAAGAACTTTAGTCTGAAGAGAGGGCTAAGAATGGTTGGATTAGGAGCTATTTCATATGAAGGAGATCAGACTTTTCAGGTGGGGGACAGAGACAGAAATAATTGGGGGGAGAGTGTGAAAAGCATATTCAAAATGACAACTTTTGGAACTGGCCTTGTAGCAAGGTGGTTAGAGAAGCCGGTCCTCCATGGCCAACTGCAGTTTGAATCTCAGCCCCAGTGGCTTGAACAATACACCAGATGCATGTGTGTGTGTGCCCATCATCCTGAGAGGATGGAGAAATGAGTCTCCATGTAATCCAAAGATGGATTAGAGTCACCATGCCCCACCGGGAAGTGCTTTCTCCCTTTCTTCTATTTCTCTCCTCCTCTATGGTGAGTGCATGTGCCCTCTGGCACCCGTAATTTTCTTTTTAAATTATGACTTGTATTTGGAAAATGAAAACAAACAAACAAACAAAAAAACCCAACAACCTGTTGTCTGCAGTAAGCAGAACTCCCTACCATCACCT